AAAAATAATTATTTATATGTAGTATATCCATGTATTTATAAGCATAACAAATTTTTGTTTGTAACTTACTTAGCTGTAAAAATGTTTAAAGTATGTTCATCCAGTAACTCGGCCATTTCGATCATCTTCCGCCAATTAGTTACAGGAGGATATACTTTTTCTTCTATAATTGGATTATTCGTATTTAAATACGCTGTACTAACATACACTAAATCCTTTAACAGATAAAAGCAATTTATTTAAAAATTATATACTTTTTTAATCTGCTACTGTATAAAAAGCTTTAATAGTAATAATAATATTAATTTATTATAAATATTAATACATTATGATATTTCGATCTTACCAATATTCTTCCAAATTCACTATATATATTATATTTAATTATTAGATTATTATAAACTTGGAACGTATGTAACGTAAACAATTTTTGATAAAATTTATAATTGAAATATAAATTGATGCACAATATTTTATATAAGATATACTATATGACACAATAAATTAATTATTAATTATTTCAATCACATAATGTCAGTTACTCTTATCGACTTACTATTAAATTCTTCATACTTTGTGCTAGAATACAAATGTCTCTTGTTGCTCTGGTATTGGCAAATATGGCACATTTTAAACTGTCATTAAATCTCACACTTGCCGCTGCATGAATTATTATAGTTACTCTTTCAATCAGCATTTGCCTGTCTGCAGCCGATAAACCTAACTCTTTCTCTCTGATATCGCCAGAAATCGGAATTAATTTCTCGAAAGCCGAAGGTTGCTCGTTGCACAATTTTTCATATAACTACAACAGAAAAACGTTATAATTTGGTAGCAAAAAATCATTTTATATATGTAATAGTACTTTATAAGATATTTAAAATAATTAAAATAAATAAATCAGTAAATAGTAAGAGAGTTAAAATATAAAAAGGTTTGCATTTTGTTTAAATTTATAGTGCATTCTTTTAATTTTTTATCAAGTTGTTCAATATAATATTGTGACATCAAATATATTTATATAAAAAATGCAATTATCACTAGACATAAACGTGACACTGCATAAATATTAAAATAAAACAAGCTTGTTCGGAATTTTTACTTAAAATTAACTGTCGTGTAAAAGTAAAATATATTAAGAACTAAATTTAAGTTTACACAAAAATATATATTTTAATAATAAGCTTTCGATTGCAACCAATCCCAATAAATCTTTGCAGAATCCTAAGATCTCAAAATATATTATTTAAAAAATAACATTTGTTTGACAGCTGCTCACAAAGTAATCACAGCGAGTGGAACAATCAGCATTGCGTCAAAGAGCCAACAATAAACTTCGAAACTTTCGAGAGAATTTCGATGGATTCAAATATTTAACATTCCTTTTTTTAGATGGGATTTTAATGTTATTAAAAATAACTTTTTTTAAGGATAACGTTGCAATAACATTAAAAAATTGTTTTTTCATATATTTAAATGTAATGTAAAGTAATAACATCTTAAAATATTAATAACTTAAAAGGAATGTGTTGGTTTACAAAATTTTTTTCTTTTTATATCCAACTTACCGGTAATTTTAACATTTTTTCGAGCCTTTCGTTCAAATCTAGTCCTTTTTTCGGACGCATCAATAGAAATATTTCACGAACATCTGGGCAAGATCGCAATACTTTTTCGATAAACGTTTTACCCAGAAATCCTGTTGCACCTGTCAGTAGTATACTTTGTCCAGCGTAAAATGCAGGAATAGACTTCACTGGATCAATGGTCATTTTGAAAAATTACTTTTAAGATGAAGTTAACACAAATATAAATCTAGCAGTGCACCACAAAACATAAGGATTGAAACGCTTGGAACCGTTGTTATATATCATGTCGATAGAAATATGTAAAATTTTAATAAATATTTAAATGTGAGTATAATGCAGAAAAAATTATTATTCTTTTATAGCCGTAAGCTAGAAACAAAATCTATAAAACTGTACTTTGACAATCGGAAATGATTGTAATTTTTTAAAGGTTAAAAGAGCAACGTGTGCAAATACGCAATGTATGCAATAATATGCAATAATATTTATAATGTAATACGCAATACGACTTTGTTAAAATATCTAAAAATTTAGCTAGATGTAAATACAAAAAGAACTTATTTGTTGGACTATTAAGATAATTATACAGGATGTGATATTTTACGTATATAGCATTTTTTCATACATACTGTAAATTTTTAGATATTTTAACAAAGCCGTATTGCGTATTACATTATAAATATTATTGCATATTATTGCATACTTTGCGTATTTGCATACATTGCTCTTTTAACCTTTAAAAAATTACAATTATTTCCGATTGTCAAAGTACAGTTTTATAGATTTTGTTTCTAGCTTACGGCTATAAAAGAATAATAATTTTTTTCTGCATTATACTCAAACTTAAATATTTATTAAAATTTTATATATTTCTATCGACATGATATAACAACGGTTCCAAGCGTTTTAATCCTTGTTTTGTGGTGCACTGCTAGATTTATATCTGTGTTAACTTTATCTCAAAAGTAATTTTTCAAAATGACCATTGATCCAGTGAAATCTATTCCTGCATTTTACGCTGGACAAAGTATACTACTGATAGGTGCAACAGGATTTCTGGGTAAAACGTTTATCGAAAAAGTATTGCGATCTTGCCCAGATGTTCGTGAAATATTTCTGTTGATGCGTCCGAAAAAAGGACTAGATTTGAACGAAAGGCTCGAAAAAATGTTAAAATTTTGTACATACACCAAAAATATCTACCGTTTTTATACATAAAAAATGTTAATTATCTTAATTTGAAGCATGTTAAGCAATCCTGTAAAAAGTTTTGACGTTCTGCCAAGTTAAATGCCCAACAAAATTAATTTGATGGTCAAACAAAATTATTTTCAGATCTATAAGTAACCAAATTTTTAGATGTTTCAGCACTGTTTTTTTTTAGGTAGATATTTGACGTAAATATATAATGTAATTATATAATGACGTAAATATATAATGTAATTATTTTACATTATATTAGTACGTTATAATATTATCTTT